TGACGTCAGGCGGTTGAACAGAAGGGCCTGGAGCATCTTGGCATGCCATAAATTGGTGGAAATATCTGTTGGTTTCTTGTAACAAAATTTGGAATATTTGTTGGAAAAACAGAATGAAAATGGAAAAGGGAGAGGACTGTGCATTTATATTGGGAGCAGCTGATCTGTTGATTCCACTTGGAGGACCAGTGAAGTCTATTACCTTTGGCGAATCCCCGGGTCTTCTATCACGAAACCTAATTTCCATTTCCTCTGCCTCGTCTGATGATGACGACAACACCGTATCTGCTCGATGTTGAATGAACTCATTGATATCTTCTAACTCTTCATCAGATTCCTCTTCCATCAATATTTCCTCCATCTCTTCTGCATCAAGAATTTTGGAATATTGGGCACGTTTTTGAGGTTCCATCTTGGGGGAGGGGGGTTTCCAGCAAAATCGAATAAATTATGATTCACAAAGACTCGCAAAATAGTGATGCATAGTAACTGTAATAGTATGGTACAATAGGCCAGAAGTGGCAGCAGTACAAGAGACTTAGTCCCACCCCACTAGCATTAAAAAATAATAATTGTAATAGTAGTCGAAAAGGTGCCAGTCCGACGCTGATATGGAAAGTCACAGTGATGAAGATGCCTTCTACTCACAAACAAATACTGGCTCAGTGGGTTTATACCTCGTCCGAGACACAAAATAATATAAACAGAAATATATGAGAGTCTGACACTAACTTTTTAAGTGAAAAAGAAATATAACACAATCCGACACTGACTTCCTAACTGATAATTCGCCACTGAAAACCAGTCCTTGAATACGTCACACTTCCTTGAAAGCTCTGGAAGCACTGATCTGTAAGCACCGACGAATATTTCCTCTTCCGTTCTCAGAACAAAGCTGGGCTACATTTGGCTCACCAGGTCATAAACAGTCATATATAAACATAAATAGTTTCAAAATCAGGACCAAGATAAACGATTTGTTTGTTCAGAGCTAAGGAATGAACCACTGACATGACTTCACATAGGTTTCTTTTGGTTTCAAACCCAAGGTCAAACTGTCAGCACTCGTAAAGAGTGCACGTGTCGTGCGACACATATACGTGTCATTCAGTCAACTCCGGTCGTGCTTGCGACATGTATACGAGTCATTCGGCCGTTAAAGGTTAAAGACATTCACACTTCAATTTTTTTTAAATAGACCAATATATAATAATGTGAAAAAATGGGAGGTAAAAATTAAGGGTATTTAAATGACTGAGTTTTTAAAATCAAACTGAAGCTAAAATAAGGCTTGCAGTTTTGTATCATATACTGAACTTTTTACTTATATTTATTACTAAAACATGGAGAAATGTAGTCTCACTGTGTAACACAAATTGATGCATCTGATTGTTTCCATTAAAAGGGTAAAGGTAAAAGGTAAAGTTGTCCCTGTGCTTAACTAATTAAGCACTATGCCATGATGGTGTATGGGAAGTGCATATATAAAACCACATTTTCTTAGCCTCAGCACAAGCTGGAGGTGAGTGGTCAGTTTTACACACCCTGGCTGCTTTACCCATGGGGAAAGAGCCCCCAGTACCCTTTGGATAGGAGGTTGGGTGGACCCCAGAGCTGGTCTGAATGCTGTGGAGAAGAGATTATTCTTGACCCTACCAGAACCCAAAACTCTGATCCGTTAGTCGTCCGGCCCATAGCCAATCACTATACTCACTACGCTATCCCAGCTCCTATTAAAAGTGTAAAAGAATTATTAATTTAATTTTAGATTTCGCATGTTTCCAGTTGGGATGTCAGCTGTACAGACCTTCCCATTGATACATTTTTACCTTATCAAGTATGTAGTATTGTAAAGTATTGTGATTGTGAAAGAAATCTGTTTCAAGATTTTGCTGAATTTGCACATTTTTGGCCCTCCCGAATAAAAAAAAGATTTTGGGATACCATCTGTGTATATGTATGCTAGCACTGTAACAGTTTGATTCTATTCTTATTTGGTATTTAAGAGCTTCATGGCAGCACCTGAGTGAATATGAACATTGTAACTTAAAAAAATTTGGACCTTTCAAATGGGCTTCATAAAACAAAATTATGATATTTAAAAAACAACTCTAATGATTTTGATTAAATGTCAGTAATTTATGGAGACCATTTCTCTAAATTACTGTGTGTAAGTGATATCTTCAAGAGATCAACATATGCCATCCAGTGGTCAAAATGTGAAATGTCAGTTTTCTCAAAACTGGCTTGACCAGTCTTGATTAAATTTTAATCATCTAAAGAGGCTGTATATCAATATATTATATTCTAGGCCAAGACATCCTGAACATAATGGAATTGAACAGCAGACCCTTGGCTGGGGATAAGTCACATTTTTCCCAGAAATTGCTCTTAATGATTATGGTTAAATTTCATCAATTGTAATATTGATATCTTCAGTTAATACTGCATGGGACATATTTCCCATAAAATAACAGCCTTCTGACTAGGGGCTGTTATCATGGACAACAAAATTGTTTATATTGAAAGTAAATAATTTTTCTGAAATATTAATTTGCATGTAGTAGAAGACTGTGCTACCAGAAATATGTCTTTGCACCAATTAGTTTATACAACAGGAAGACCCCTTTTGAAGTTTCACTAGAAGTCAACATATTTGTAGACAGTATACCTTAATTGAAGGGCAGTTAATGTTGAGGTAAGGGGGTGTCAGAATGAGAAAGAACTGTATATTTGGAAACTTTCAATGGGGATTGTAGTCTTGTGTCTTATTATTTTGTTTTTTAGTTGCCTTTTGGTTTTATATGCATCTGCTCTCACAAGGTTTCAATCTTTGGGTAGTAAAAAGTGTGGATAAATTCTGTCTATGTATTGTCTAATTTAGTTTGTTAAATGGTGTTAACTTGTGCAGGTGGGAAGAAGAAAAGAAGGATGGTGCCACAAAGTGGAACTTTTTGGAACACAAAGGTCCAGTATTTGCACCACCTTATGAGAGATTACCGCCTGATGTCAAGTTCTTCTATGATGGTCAGTGCTTTTTGTCTCTCATTTCTGTCACACTCAACTGTACCTTGAGGTTGAATTGTGAAGCACCAGGTTCAGAATTCTGTCCTAATGTTTAACAGAAGTTTTGGGAAGAACTGACAGCACTAATATAAGTGAGCATCAAGATTGAAGGGTCTTTGTACCAAATCTCACTTCTTTATAATGAGTAGTTAGGAGGAATGTCAGATCTTTTGAGAGAAATGTTGACTGCAAAAAGAAATAGTTTCACTCAGCCAAGTCACTTCAGAATGAAGTAGTGATGCAATATTATGCACTTATATCAAAAGCCATTAGTTACTGCTCAGTGAATTGCAAATTGAATGAAGTGACATGGGTTGGAGTCCATTGCCCTCTTTTTGTTATTGTTTACATATCAAAATTCATAAGATTAAAGCATAGAAAAAGTGTTAAGTGGCAGTATGTTTTTCTAAAGTCCATTTCAGAAATAATAATTGTTGGAATTTCAGGTATTTGCTACAGGCACCTAACGATGTGGGGTTTGTATTAAATTAACAGCTGAAACGTGGTACTTAATGATGCATAAGAAATGCAGTTTCAACCAAGTCATGTAATTAAGCATAGTATTCAGTTACAAGGCGGTCACAGTAGCTGCGTGATCTAAGGCATGAACTGTCTTTGCTTGCTCAGATGCTAGGATCATATGTGCAAATCCCCACTCAGGGCATGGATGTTTGGTGTGTGTGCGTGCGTGCGTTTATTCTGTGTTTGTGTTGTCCTGTGTTTAGGTAGCTGCCTTGTGATGGGCTTATCACTCGTCCAAGGAGTCCCGCCATCTGTGAAAAATGATTACAGAATTGAATAAGAGGCCTGGACCCTGAATGGGGTAGAAGAGCCACTGAAAAAAAAATCAGTTACAAATTTCACCACACACACTGTGTGTTTTATAGTCTAATGATGTCATCTTAGTATAATAAACCAGAAAGTACAGCCCTAAACAGAAGTAGAGCTTTGAGTAACGGTGTATTTGGTTCAGAATATAACAGCTGAGCAATCACAGTGTCCATTTTCCCCACTTCAGTAAGAGTGTATGGGCATTTTTCAAGCTCATATATATGTATAATACTTTACTTAACATGTTTCAGTCTCTCTAGTAAGGCTGGTGGGAAATACATTCAACTCTCGATTGTCCGGGGGTGAATAAACCGGTTTTCGGCTTAACTGGGGCTTTTTTCAGGCGTATATGTTGTTTAATATTCATTCACTTTTGTTTCACATGGTGAGTTGTAACACTATTTTCGCACTAGTGTGAACTGAGCTCTGCATTTTTTGGTCCTGTTATGCTAACACAATGTTCTAGGGTAGGGATGAAAGAATGCAGAGATTTGTGGAAAGTTTCAAGGACAGATACACCACCCCAGTTAGTCTCTTTGTATCGATCTTCAAGTGTGTTAGGGTGTAAAAGGAAGCATGTTGTGTTAAGTATTCAACAGAAAGTTGAAATTATCAATCAGTTGGGGAAAAGAGGTATAGTTAAATAATTAGCAGTGCAATACGGCATTGGAGAACAAACTGTTCATGATTTGAAAAAACAAAAGAATCAATCAATTTCCTTTGCTTCGTCTTCTAATTCAAATGGAATGAAGAAGAGAAAAACCATGAAAAAATCAACATATGATGATCTCAAAAAAGCAATGCTGATCTGGTTTAATCAATTAAGGGCACAGGGAACAACAATAACCAGAGCAGTTTGTGCTAAACAAGCGAATTTCTTTTCTGAAGCACTTGAACTACGAGGAAGTTTTGACGCTTCTTCCAGTTGGCTAACACGTTTCAAGCAGCGTCATGTAATACGAGAAATTAGTATTCAAGGTGAGAAATTGTCGGGATTTGTCATCAGTTCAGTTTTGCACCAATTCTGATAGTTTCATGAAAAGTGAAAATCTGCTGCCAGAACAAATGTGTAATGCCGATGAAATGGGTCTTTCTTGGAAATGCTTGCTAACCAGAACTTTGGCATTTCAAAATGAAAGACAGGCTCCAGGTCACAAATCCATTAAGGAGAGATTGACAGCCTTGTGCTGTTCTAATGCATCAGGAACACACAAACTAACCTCAGTAGTTACCAGCAAAGCAAAAAGACCACACTCTTTTAAATGAACAGTAGCTTCAAGTCTGCCTATCCATTATTTTAATCAGAAAGGAGCTTGGATGAATAGAGCGATATTTAAAGAATGGTTTGATTTTAAATTTGTGCCTCAAGTTTGTGACCATCTAAAATCCCAAGGCCTACCTGAGAAAGCTGTGCTCCTCATTGACAATGCGCCCTCACATCCTAACGAAAGTCTCCTGAGGTCAGATGATGGAAATATTTTTGTGAAATATTTTCCCGCTAATGTTACCGCACTTATCCAACCAATGGATCAAGGAGTTATCTCAAGTATGAAGAGAATCTACAGATCAAATTTGCTACAAAAGTACATCGATGAAGGCAATGATCTGACGTGTTTCTGGAAGTCCTTTTCAGTATTAGATGCCATATACGAGATTTCAACAGCGTGGGATACAGTAAAGCCATCTGTATTGAAAAATTCATGGAAGAAACTGATGCCTTTCATCACTAATGAAGATGACGAAATCCATGGATTCACTGGATTCAGTGAAAATGAGATAGCCATAGAATTGACAAAATTGGCTAACCAAGTTCATGGTGGTGAAGAAGTCAACGAGGAAAATATAAGAGAGTGGTTTGACTGTGACTCGTGTGAGCCGGGCTTCGAAATGTTAAGCAGTGACAAAATCGTACGTTCATTGGGGGTGCAGCCAGAAGAGAGGGAAGAAAGTGAGAATGTGGAAGAGGTTGACAGTGCTGCTGGTAAGAAAATATCACATGGTGCTGCTCTTAATCATTTGGAATCCTTACTAGACTATCTTGAGAGTGAAGAGAACAGTTTAAGTGACAAGCTAATATTACATAGGCTTCGTACGGATATCCGTAAAAATGCCACAAAAAAGCAAACGACAGTATTACATTTTTTTAAGTGTTAAGTGTGAATATTCGTAAAAAGTGTTGGATGTTGTTGAACACTGTGATTGAAATAACTAATTCATACTTCAATGTAATGTAAAAAAAGTATTAAATGGGCCATGAGATGACATAAAAATGAGGTTGAATAAATTTAAATACAGGTAGGCCTATAGTATTATGAAGGTACAGTATTACAGTACTACTTTCAAAAAAATTATCTTAACCGGGTTTTCAATTAATCATGATTTCCATCCCCACCATTATCCCGGATAATCGAGAGTTGAGTGTATGTAACAATTGTACAATTCAATCATATACTTTTGTATATAGTGTCAAGTAGTACAAATTCACTCTTTGTCAAAGTTGCTCAGTATAATCTCACACTCCCATAATTAAATTTGTTATTTTTGGGCATGCGGCAGCATAGTTGGTTGAGTGGCTATGCTACAAGCTGGAAGGTCCTGGGTTCAATTCCTGATGAGATCATTGGATTTTTTTCAGTTGACCTAACCTTCCAGCTGCACTATGGCCCTGGGGTTCACTCAGCCTCTAACAGAAATGAGTACCAGGAATTAATTAAATAATTTTCCTGGGGGGTAAAGCATGGCTAGTGCATAAGGCTGACCACCTTACTGCCATTTTTGAGACGATTGTCTAGATAATGTGGGACCCTCAGCATCTCACAACCCTATGGGCCTTCATGGCCTGATAAAGAGATAGCTTTACTGTTTTTTTGCTTATAAAGAATGTAAGTAGAAATTCAGAATGTGAAGCGAGAAGTACATTTTCCTTTATGTGCCTCCAGTGCATGCCAAATACTGCTTATGTTTCTGATTTCATGATGTCAGTTTATTATAGACATAGAACCAGGTGCTTGAAGCTTCATATGTGCATGGAGGAGTCTGACAGTGTCAGACACATTCATTTGCTGAGAAAAAGAAATATGATGGATGGTAAAATATCAAGAATATACTACTCTGTCCAAAAAGTATCTGACCTTGGGCCGGGAAGAAAAAGTTCTGTATATGGGTGGTTAGAGTACCTAATCGCCTTCAAAGTAGGCCCATTGTGAATTCACGCACTTAGCCCAGTGGTCCTTCCATCGCTGGAAGCAATTCAGGAAGGCTTCGTTTGGTATGATGTGTAGCTGTGCCATCATGTTCTGTATGATGTCCTCGTGGCTGTCAAAATGGCCTTTTAGTGGTGCCTTCAATCTTGGGAACAGCCAGAAATCACAAGGAGCCATGTCAGGAGAGTAGGGAGCCTGGCGAACCTGCGAAATGCTGTGCTTGGCCAGGAAACCCTGGATCAGGTGTGTTGAGTGAGCTGGGGCATTGTCATGATGCAGCTGCCAGTTGCATGCGTCCAACAGCTCCAGTCTCTTGCACCGAACTGCATCATGAAGATGGCGGAGGACTTCTTGGTAGTACTCGTTATTGACAGTCTGGCCTAGTGGTGCATACTCATGATGCACAACACCCCGGTAATCGAAAAAAAAAAACAGCCAGTATCACCTTCACATTGCTCCGAACCTATTGTGCTCTTTTGGTCCTCGGGGATGTTGGATGCTTCCATTGTGATGCGTGGACCTTGGTTTCCTGGTCATATCCGTACACCCAAGACTTGTCATCAGTGGTCACAGTCTTCAGGAACTCAGGATCCCTGTTGGTACACTCCAGCATGTCCTGCGCGACCTCAAGATGGAGTTGTTGCTGCTCCGACGAAAGCAGCTTGGGCACAAATTTTGCCGCCACTCTTCGCATGCCCAAATCCTCAGTTAAAATTGTGTTTGCAGAACCTCTGATGATCCCAACCTCATCAACAACTTCATGGATGTCCAAAAAACGGTCCTCCATGATCAGTGTCCGCACTTTTTCAATGACATCAGCATTGACAGTCTCCCGGAATGCTGCTCACTGTCCGCTAACATACGGCTATGTTTAAAGTGGTTGAACCACTCTTTAATTTGAGTGACCCCCATTTCATCATCACCAAA